AAAAAAAAAAAAAAGGCTCCTTCGGCGTTTCCTCAGCCGGGGAGGAGGAGGTAAAGGGAGGGTTGTTGAATTCTTTTTGTGGTGGGAGGCACTACAATTCAAAAAGGATGTTGACAAACGAGTATGTCCAGAGAAGGGCGACCAAAATGGTGAAAGGTCTAGAAACCACCAAACCCTATGAGAAGCGTCTGAGGGAGCTGGGTATGAATTTCAAAATGAATTTCAACAGGGAGAAATGTAAGACACTGCACTTAGGTAGAAATAACTAAATGCATAGATGTAGGTTGGGGGACACCTGGCTTGACAAGACAACATGTGAATGGGATCTAGGACTCCTAGTAGACCACAAGTTGAACATGAGACAGCAGCAGTAGAATTCAAAGATACAGCCGTGTTAGACTGTAGAATTAGTATGTAGAGTGGTCTTGTAGCACCTTTGAGACTAACTGAAAGAAAGAAGTTGGCAGCATGAGCTTTCCTAGACTTCAGTCTACTTTCTCAGATGCTTTTGAGTGCATTTGATGAAGTGGATTGAAGTCTACGAAAGCTCATGCTGCCAACTTATTTCTTTCAGTTAGGGCCTTTGAAGACTGCCAGAAATAGTGCAAATTGAGTCCACTTTAACTACCCTGGCTCAGTGCTAGGGAATCATGGGAACTGCAGTTTATTGTGGCACCAGAGCTCTCTGACAGAGAAGGCTCAATGTCTCAGAAAAAAAATACAATTCCCATGATTCCCTAGCACTGAGCCAGGGCAGTTAAAGTGGACTCAATTTGCACTATTTCTAGCAGTCTGCAAAGGCCCTTAGTCTCAAAGGTGCTACAAAAACTGTCTACATAATAAGACAACAGTATGATGGAACAGCTAAAAAGGCTAATGAAATTTTAAGCTACATCAACAGAAGTATAGTGTCTAGATCAAAAGAAGTAACAATGTCACTCTATTCTGCATTGGTCAGGCCTCACCTGGAATACTGTGTCCAGAGGAGGAGGATCAAAATGATGGCAGGTCTGGAAACCACGCCCTATGAGGAAAGACTTAGGGAGCTGGGTATGTTCAGCCTGGAGAAGAGATGGTTAAGAGGTGATACGATAGCCCTAAGTATTTTAAGGGGTGCCATATTGAGGATGGTGCAAGCTTGTTTTCTGCTGCTGCAGAGACTAGGACAGAGCAGTGGATGCAAAGTACTGGAAAAGAAATTACATCTAAATATTGGGAAGAACTTCCTGACAGTAAGAGCTGTTCGATAGTGGAACACACTCCCTCAGAGGGTGGTAGAGTCTCCTTCTTTGGAGGTCTTTAAACAGAAGCTGGATGGCCATCTGTCGGAGGTGCTTTGATTGTGAGTTCCTGCATGGCAGAAGGTGGACTTGATGGCTCCTTGAGGTCTCTTCCAACTCTATGATTCTAAGAACGGAAGAGGCTACTGGAGGGAGGAAAACGCCATACTCCAAGCCTGGGAGGGGGGAGAATTTATGGAGGGAGGTCTTGTATGATGCCTCAGGCAGGGATGAATGGAGAGGAGGAATAGAGTGAGGTGTTATCTGAATGCAAAGTCCTCCTCTCTCCCTGCCCCCCCCCAAATATTGCTTTGTTTTAAGAATCTGATTAGTGATTCTGTTGGTGTACCACCCACCCCACTGCACAACAGTCTTCCTGTTTGAGCTGGCTGAGTTAATCTCTGAGGTGGCATTGGAGTCCCTTTGGCTTGTTGTCTTGGGGGACTTCAACATCCATGCAGGGACTGTTCTGTCCGGAAAAGATCAGGACTTCATATCTTCCATGACAACAATGGGACTGTCCCAAGTAATATCTGGTGCCACCAATGTTGCAGGGCACACTCTGGATCAGGTTTTGTTTTGTTTTTTGTTTTTGGCTCTGGGCAGGATGACAGTGATCTTGGAGTGGAGGAATTTTCTAGTTCTGTTGTCATGGACTGATCACTACTTGGTAGGGCTTAGAGACTCACTGGGACTCAGAGCCTCTGCAGGGGCGGAGGGCTGATTAAGATGGTCTGTCCCAGGAGGCTTATGAATCCAGATTGATTCCTGATGGCTTTTGTATGTTTACATTTCAACTTTTTACTGTTTTAATTAGGCTATTTTAATTGTTTTTAAAAATGTTGTTTTGATGTATTCTAATGTGTTTTTATGTTGTGAGCCACCTTGGGTCCCTTTTTGGGAGGAAGGCGGAATAAAAATAAAACAGATAAATAAATTCCTTTCCTCCTGCAGAGCTCACTCATCCTGGCAGTTGGGAGAGGCAGGTCCTTCCCTTTGTATAATTGTGGGGTGGAGGTATGGTTGAAACTGACCTCCCTTCCAGTTTGCCTCCCTCCTCCCTAATAATCTCTGGAAACAAGCATACATCCAGGCTGGGCTGCAACTTAGAGGAAGAAAGCCTCCACATTTAAAAGACTGTCAAATGAAAACTCAAAACAGAAGACTAAACCAAACTTGGGGTGGAAGGGAGGTCATTTGGACTCCTGGAAGGGGAAAAGATAGATGTGTTGGGAAAGTTCTGGAAGGAGGAAAGAGCCAATGAAGATGGCACAGAGCCCACCAGGAGAGAGGAAGATGGATCCTAAACCTCCTCTTATGCTGATAAACTCACTGAGCAAACAGAATCCATCAATTATGCAAAACAAAATCCCTCACATGAGCAAAGCAAAATTCCTCATTTTTTAATGTACACAGGGATTCTGGGAGGCCTATAGGATTCCCAATTATCTTCTCCCAATCTTCACAACAACCTGCACCAGAGAAGCAAGGCATTTAAGTGAGAGGGAAGAAAGTTTGGAGGATTGCTGTGGGAGGAACCAAACATTCATCTGCACTCCCAATATTGTTGGATAGGCAAGCTGATCTGATCTAGATTTAAACTGGACTCAGATCTTGTAGTCAGGTGTAAGGGGAATATTTTACTTTTATGGGTCTAATTCTGAACTTGACTTTGGTCCAAAACACACTGCAGGAATAATCCAGTTTGACACCATATTAACTGCCCTGGCTTAATGCTAGAGAATTCTGGGAACTGTAGTTTTGTGAGCCATGCCATAGAGCCAATTAAAGCAGTCTCAAATTGGGTTATTTCTGTAGTTTGGACGTAAGTTTGTTTCATTATTAGCATATCCAGCTGTGAGGCCTCTCCCCTTTTGAGGTTCTCCATGGGGCCAGGATATTTGGGAGGGATATCAAAAGGAATCACATCCTTGCTAGCCCAGTGAGTGGGGTGGTGGTGTTTGGCTCTGTACATACCTTGTGGGGATCTTTCTTGGGGCATGTAGAGGGGCAGGGGACTATTATGGAATGCCAGAAGGCAAAGGTAGTCACAGATGGAAGGTGATGCTATGGGGGGGGGGGGGGAGTTAGTAGAAGAAATAGGCAGAGAATTTCTTCTTCCAAGAGGATGGCAAACTTGACCCTAAATAATTTCACTTCCTCCTTATTTCCTTCCCTTGCTTAGCAAAAAGGGAGCTTTCTTTTTCAGGTGGAAAGGCTCTCTTCCCCCTGTTTCATTCTCAGCCCACCCATCCAGGATCCCTCTCTCCATTAGTCACTCCAAACCCCCCTCCCAGC